AAGTCTCACCCGTACACGCACTTTGTCCCTGAAACGGAGAGCGACCTCATGGAAATGTATGTGGACACTGTACGTAGCGCGAAGCCATCCAAACGGTGGAAGCGCAGTGTCCACTGTGGAGGACGACCCCAATGTACTTGTGGTTGTACACTCCGATGACGAGGACGACGGTTACGAGCACCCCGCGCTGCTTGTGCCTCGGAGCGTCCTCAACGGTTGCGAGGCGTCGTTCAAAGCGGCCGATGAGAAGCGGGAGAAAGCCAGTACGAAGCTCTACGACGATACGGGGCTAATGGCCTTGCTCTGCCGCCACGACCGAGTCCTGTGGCTCGTCAACATGCACTCCGCAGGAGAAAAGCAATTCTATGTGCTCCTGCTGATCGAGACGTTGTTCCAGCATCTGCCGCTGAATATCACCGTGGGCCTTTTATACGACGTCGCCTGCCAACTCGAGCGCTCGGCGCGGAAGTGGGGATTCCTGGCGCGTTATATGGAGCGTCTGGTGTTCGCAGTGGCTGTTTTTCATGTGTTTGGGCACGACTGGCCATGTCAATTAATCTATCACCCACGGAAGCGGTTGGGCTTCGGCTTCACCAATGGCGAGGGATGCGAGCGCTTCTGGCACTCAATCAGCCACCTGATCGCCCACCTGCATGTGTCCAGTGTGAGTCGCGCGATAATCGGAGATTAACAAATGATACTCACTTTGGCAGCCGACAGTACCACCACAGACTGTACACTCTCGACATGCAGGTGCGGCACGCAGACGAAGCCAACGTGTTCCGCCTTGGCGAGTGGAACAAACGCCGAGCGCTCCACAGTGCTGAGAAGCGCTCGAATGCTCAGGAGATTCTGGACGAATGCGGGCACCCGCTCGATTTATTGAAGGCAGAGTGGGCGAAGCAAGTAAAGGCGCAGACCAAGCCACTCGCGCGCACGTATTTGCCACCACTGTTCTCCTCCCAATACTGACCGATCATCAGGCCGCACGAAGAATATGGGACAAAAAGCAGTGGAAGCGGTGTTTGCGCTCCGCGATGGAGTCAAGATACGGAAAGCGCAGGTCGTGGCGGCCGAAGAGGCCGCGTTAGATGCTATCGACGGGGGCCACCAACCGGCTATCCAGCAAACTAAAGAACACCTCAAGAAGACAAAAGAGGGCCTCCGCACGGCAGAGGCCAAGCTCAAACAGAAAGAGCTGGCTCTGGGGGTCAGGGACAAGGCTCGACTGGCAAATCTGGCCACCAGCAAGTACTTGGACCTCCGGATGCGATGCCGGGCTGCAAAGCATCGGCTGCGAGACCGACTGCGGTCTCGCAAGTTTGAGTTGGACAGGGTGGAGCGCTCTGTGCGACACCAAATTGGAACTGGTATGCCGCGCGCCTCTCTGGTCCCGCTCATACTGAACCTGGTTTAGAAAGGAAGCTTCGTTCACATGCGGAGTCCGCTGTGCGCCGGCGTGAACCCGGGATCGCCAAACTGTACAAGGACTATAACATCATGTGTGGACAAATTGCCACCCTGATCCAGAGCCGACGCGCGCCTCGCGCGGCGGTGGAGCCACAAAAGATCGATCCAAAAACAGTCTGGCAGTTAGACGTTGATGACGGGATATGGCAGGACGTCGGGCTTGACGACGATGATGACAACGAGGCCGGCCCTCAGGCCGCTCCTCCTTTGTGGCTGAGCAGCGAGAGTGTGAGGAGCGGGATTCAGGCGATGCTCGATCTGAGTCGCGCTGACGAGGAGGATGCAGAATTGGCGAAGGAACGGCGGTCGATGCAGGTGTGGTTTGCCGAGGAATGGGAGATTGTGAATGCTGCGATGGGCCGCGCAGGTAAAGTGGTTTCCTTATAGTGGCGTTCCCAGACTGACAGTTGTTTTAGATACTGAGGGCCTACGTTATAACCTCCATCTGCGCCGGGAGCGACTGGTGCGCCTGTGCGCCACTTGGCAGCGATCCCTACCGAGGAGCGAGGATCCGACTTGCCCACCCTGGGGTCCGACGGGTGAGGAGCTGCTGAGTTGCCGCCTAGAAGAGCAGACGGCCAGGCGCGGTGAAGAGCGTTACACGGACAATATCTTCGAATACGAAGAGGAGGACAGTGACAGCGGCGAAGACTTCCAAACGCTGGACGCCCTCGACACCGCTGACGTTTATAGAGGAATGTATCAAGCTGAGACGGACGACGAGTGGGACTCAAATTGAATGTGTAGCCAATGTAATGTAATAGTATTGTAATAGTAGTTAGTGGCATTGGGTACCAGGCGCGCCATCATAAAGCCTTGAGGCCCACGAATGAAGTGCGTGCGATGCTTTGGTTAAAAGCTTACGCTGACCCCATTGTGCAGAATCCGAAATGGGGGGCAGCCACCAAGACACTGAATCGGGTAAGACCTGCGCCCATTGTATACATTCAGTGGCACACGCGTATAAAACGGGCCCTCCCCGTTCGCTGAAGGACAACCCATCATGCCCCGCTCCCGTCGTGCCAAAGTCGCTCGAAAGCCAAGAGCCATTAAGGCTAAGGCGCCGCTGCCTCGCATCACCGACCCCTACGCGCCGCCGCATCCGTACATCGCCCCTCTGTCCGTCGAGGAAGAAGAACCAGCCAGGATCCTTCATAACAGGAAGGTCAAAAGATTGAAAAAGCGCTATCGTGAGTGCGTCTTTGACAACGGGCGGACCGGCGCTGATCCTGATCCCCAGACAAGGCGGTGGCCGCTCATTTGTCCATCCTCGACGATCGCGCAAGGGAGGAGGCCAACTGGCCGGTGTATGTCGCATACGACAACGCCTGTAAGTACCTTGTTTCTACCGCTCTTGTTCCTGCCCTAATGACCTGAGCAGTGGAAGACTACGAGAAACAGTACGGGAAGTTCGTCCCCGACGTGGAGAACGCGGCCTGGTTCGCGAGGAAGGCGCCGCGTGTGGCAGACCTCATGGTTTTGAGGAATATTGCTGGTGAGTGGTGTCTGCTGGTGGGGCGACTGCTGGTTGACATCGGGTTTTAGGCGACGTGTATCGACACGACTACCCAGACATGATAGCATACTTCGATGCTGGTATGTCTTATGCCTGTATCATCGTCGCTCTGGTTGATCTGTCCCATAGAGAACACATTTAGAGAAGATTTTGGGCACCAATTCGTGTGCCCCGACGGCCTCGACGACCACTTCAAACGGATGAGATCTCACGAGCACACTGCCCACGCGCTCACCTATGTGGGCGCCGCCCTCCTTGAGAAACTCCTCTCGGAGCCGTTGGTTGTCAACATCCTCAATCCTTATCCGCTCGACGACCCAGATCACACCCGATTTGATGACTTATGTGCGTTCTTCTTCCAATTAAATAAGTATCAATGCCTTAACCGCAGTTTCAGTTGAGGACTTCGCGCGTTGGCAGAAGCTCCCTATCACGGCCTCTTGGCGGACCTTTTCCTTCCCAATGCTTCCAGGGCGGCGAACCTGATGCGCCAGGATATCAAGAGGAGCGGCTGCATCGATACTACCAAGGTACTCTTCTACACTCATCGAGATGACCGCAGCTGACCAAAATTTGCAGTGGTTTGGGTGGAGGAAGTCTTGGAGGAGGTGGAGCGCCACCATAGGGAGGATTACGACGACTCTGTTGGGGAGAGCCGCGGCAATTTAAGATCACCCTTTGTCTTACGGCCTCCTTTGTGGTAGATAATCTTATTTTGACGACGCGTATCTCCCTCGGGTACCTAGCATAAGTTATTGGATTGGGGCGTTGCTGAGGGCAGTACAATGGCGGGCGACCGCTGTGGATAATGAGCCGCGTGGCTGGATCATTACTTCATTGGGACATGAATGGACGGCCACCGAGGGCCACCGGAAGTGGCTTTGATTCTGCCAGCCTATAAAGTACGTGCCATGATTCTATGCAACTGCATCTCTTTCTCACACCCCACATTGACACAAAATGCCTGCTACCGCCTCCAAAGCCCGCCGCTCTCGCAAGACACTCCCGAATCTCCCTCGCTCTCCATTTGATCGCGGAATGTCCCGCTGTGCGATGGTACCCAGGGCTGCCGAACCCATCGGAGTAGAGTGCGCACCACAAGATCTTTTTGGAGGACGTCCTTTGGGTATGTCTCGCTGTTAAGGTTATTCGGACCACTGTTGACTTTGACGGACCTAGGACTTTTCTATGACTTGGCTTACCAATTTTGCGACTCGTCCCGCGATTGCACTGGCTTGATGACGGACGAACTCTGCGAAAGAGGGTGGCGTGAGCAGATGCCAATTTTTGGTGCGTGTTCTTGAATTTGTCGGGTTCAACTCTTAATTTTCTTACTCCAGCCACCTATTGTGCTCAGGACTGTGACAACCAGTTTGGCTACCAGCCCCACGACCGCAATGGCTTGACAACAGGTGAATTCTGTGAAAGAGGGTGGCACGATGAGGTGTAATTTGAATGTTATCAGCCGTTATCTTAGTTTTTTTTCCTCTCTGCGTTCCGTTAGTTCTTATAAAATTTGTCTTCTCGCTCGTGTTGGCCCCAGATGATGAGGCCTCTCTGGTCTGAGTACCATGAAATCTCACGTTGACATATTGACATATAGTTGGCAGCGCGCGTACGAGACAATCTAATCTCTTTACTTTAGATTAATCTAATCTCTTTACTTTAGAATATAATTTTCCTACAACACTATACAATCAATGAACCGGTATTTAAATTGAGTCAAGATAGAAGAGTGACTCAGACAGAGACTGAGGGAGGTAAGGAAGGGGTCAGCAACTAACACGCAAGCGATGAAAAAAAAAAATTAAAAAGACGACCCAGCCCTGAGTTGAACAGGGACCTCCGAGTGAAAGGAGTCATAAATGCAGCATTCAAACTCGGTGCGCTCCAACTGCGCCACTGGACCATTATTCCTCTTCCAGTGTGCTCTATACATGGGCAACTTTTACCGCAGAATGAATAAAAACAGATTGTGTTGGAAAAATAAAATGTGAAGCAAAAAAAAAAGAGACGGCCTGGGCGAGATTCGAACACGCCTCTGTGCATGAAGCAATTTCATCGAGCCTATTATTTTGCACCGCTCTTTCCAGCTGAGCTACCAGGCCACATCTAACGATGCCAGAGTGAGATATAGAGGTCGAACTGGCTGTCCAATATGGTAAGTCGAACAAACATATTTTTACAGCAAAGTGTACCTAATTAAGTGTAAAAAATTTATTGAGTTGAAATTGACAAGAAAAAAAGAAACCTTCAAGACATCGGGGTATGGACCAAATAAGGGACAACAACCGCTACGGTCCCAATATGGGAATTCCTGGCCGTTCTGGCCGTTGGGAGTCCCCAGGGTGGGAGCTCCCTGGGACTCCCAGGCCCTCCCATGGGTGCCTGAAATGGCTCCCGCTGAGGCCAAATATCATACATCTAGCCGTATGGGAGCACCCAGGAAGGCGACCGGGAGTAACCTGGCCGATGCAGAGGATGCTCCCAGGCCATCGATGGGAAGCATTGGGAGGTCTTCCAGGGGCTAGTGGGAGGCTCCCAAAGGGTCCATGGAAGCCTTAGAGAACTGGTGGGAGGCCTCCGACCAGCTGCGGGGGAGGTAGGGGAGGGATGTGGGAGCCCCCTGGGGTTTGAATGGGAGGATTGTGAGGTCTTCCTGGGAGTCTGTGGGAAGGCCCTGGGAGTCTGCCGGGACTTGTCTGGAGAATTGTGAGGTCTTCCAGGGAGCCTGTGGGAGGGTCCTGGGAGTCTGCCGGGACTTGTCTGGGAGATTGCAAGGCCTTCCAGAGACTCTGTGGGAGGGTCCTGGGAGTCTGCCGGGGATTGGTCTGGAAGACATTGGCAGAGGCTTCGTGAGACAGTGGGAGGCCCACGGGAGCTGGCAGAGACAATTGGAAGTACTGTCGGGCCAGAGAAAATGTAAGGGCGAGTGGTGTACAAGGAATTAGCCTACAACGAGAGCTGATTTTGTCAGTTGTGCAGCATATCTATTGGATTGGGATGCTCTCCAACATCAACATGTACATATATATAACCAGAGAGAAGCTTTAAAATTAAACCTTGCGTGCTTGAGTGCGACTTTTTGAACTCAATAGATGTACCGTACCAACATGTGCACAAAAAATAAAAGTAAATGGTACGAGTGACGTTTTGAACTCAACAGATATACCATACTATTATATGAACAAAAAGAAAACATAGAAAATAATAATAATAACCTTGGTTCCTTGGGTGGATGGTTTGGGTGACTGCTGAAAGGAACTAGTGAAAAGACAGATGTTTCAGACCTCTTTCCAAGAATGCTGCCCTCATGTATCTAGCAGTCAACCCACGGAACAAGGGATGCACGACCTGCCCGATGGGTGCCTGAACGGCCCTGGGAAAGTGCTTTTCGGGGGGAAATTTGCCAAAAAAATCTGCCGCGGTATGCAAGGCATATATATATTACTCATGCCATGTAACTGGTGATGTATGATCAACCACGAGCAAGCCAAACAGTGCCTGAGTGGCCCCGGAAAGCACTTTTTGGGCCAGAAATTCACCAAAAAAATCTGCCGCGCTACGCGCGCCATATATATAGTACTCAACCCATGGCCCGGGGCATTCAGAATCACCCATTAGCACCCCAAACAGTGCCCCAAAGGGCCTGCAAAAGCGCTTTTCAGGGCAGAAATCTGCTAAAAAAATCTGCCGTGCTACGCGCGGCATATATAGAGTACTTAACCCATGCATCGGGGGATTCAGAATCACCCAGGAGCAGCCCAAACCGTGCCCAAACGGCCCCAGAAAAGCGCTTTTCGCCCCGGCAGTGGCCGGGGTCTTGGATGATGGCAAGTGATGCCATGGAAGCTCCCAGCACATGGGAGCCTCCACGCAAATGGTGGAAGGTTCCACCCAGATTCCTTCCACCCATACCTAGGAGGAAGCTCCCAGCAGTGGGAGCCCACCACCTAAAAACACCCACTTAGGGTAGTCATAGAACAAGGAATAACCACCCTATTAGGGTACCTTAAACGTCTGCCTGTAGTGTCATGGCCTCATTCAGAGCATCCTGAAGATCACCCAACTCCCCACCCCCATGGCTAATCTCGATTGGGACTGTCCCGTCTGCAACATCGTTGTAGCCAAATTCATCGCCGTCCTCATAGTCCGAGGGGTCGTTAGAGTCTTCAGGAATGTCCCGCATTTGTCGGAACACTCTCAGCCGGTCCTCGCTCAATCCTGGATAGACAATATAGGCTGACTGTCATAATGATTAGCTGGAGCTCGCACCTGCAATGTGCTCTAGCATCTCGCGGTTGGTTTGCTCGGCCAACTCTGTGCATGCCTTGGCATTGAGAGTGCGCATTTCAGGGACATTGATCCCATCTCGGTTGACTGTGGTGACAGGGACCCGGACTCTTGCCCGTGCTTTTGTTTTTGCGCGATTGACGCGTGCTGGTGGAGCCATGGTGTGGACAGCGAACAGAAAGGTTACAACACGTGACCATGGTTTGCCAATTTTGGCATCCAGTTTCCTAGTGGAAGCGGTGGAATCGTGGAACTGGTGGAAACAATAGCAAATGATCCCAAAGCACAGCACGTGACCATGGTTTGTCAATTTTAGCAGTTAAGTTCATCTGTGGAAACGATGGAATTATGGAACTGGTGGAAACGGTGGCAAATGATCCCAAAGCTTAACACAAAGGCACGTAAAACAAAGGCACCGCCACATCTCCGCTTCTTCTCTGCCACCCACCATCCTCCAGTGCCCTCAGCGGCAATGCGCCCCAATGTCAACCTCAAAGGTGTGTATTCCTCAATGCTCTCCATCTTTTCCATGGCTTCCTTCCCTTTACGAACCTGGGTGCCTACTTGCCACTCGTGTTGCCACTCACTTTTGCTGCGGTACTCCTGCCGGGGAACCTAGCTCAGTGGGTTGTGAACGGTGGCCTGTGGGTTGCCACGGCACCAAGTCTTCCCCCTATCTCCCTTTGGGAGCCTCTGTCTCGGCATTGGCTGATTGCCGTCTTTCAGGTCTTGACGCCACTGAGGATGCATTCACGTTCCGTGAGGTATGTCCTGCTCCCTAGCCATCTCCACTCCATCTCTCATATCATATCCATAGACGCGCTCTGATCGTGCGTTCTCCCCCTGGGACGCAGAAGAGATCAGCACATCCGCCCCTTTCTCAATTGCCGATGCGGTCGCGGATCTGGAAGCACTTCATCTAGGTGACAATGAAGATCTTGCCAAGCTTGACAGTGGCCCTCCACGCATTCCCCTTCCCACCGGCTCCGACACCCTTGTCGAGCCTTCCCACGTCGAATTCAAAACACCTTCTCAGATTGCTCGCGCCAATCGGGAAAAAGCACGATCAAAAGCCAAGAGACAAGCGGCCCGCTCAGCAAATAGCAAGACTGACGTCCTCCTGGAGGAGCGTCCTCGCCACCCTCGCCACTTGCGCACCGCTGGGCCCTCCATCGAGGCCCAATTCGATCTCCGAAAGGTTCGCATTGCTGCGACTGGTTGGATTGGCCTCAGGGACAACGGGGTCTCGCCAGAGGAGGCAGAAGCTGGAGTGAAGCAGGAAGGCTACACGCCAATTCATCTCCTCCCCGACTTCTTTGGCGTTAAGGCTATTTTCCACGGCTTCCACCTGGCGAAGTACCTTGGCCCGTGCGTGTTTATATTTTCCTCTTTATCCCTAGCCCTCACCTCTCCCCCAGCCAAGGCTGTCCCATTGTTGACCAATGTGGCAAGGTCTGCGCCGTTTTTGGGGCGCCCTCCCGAGGACGACTTCATGGAGATGGTGCACGACCCAGCCGTGGAAGCGATGGAAACGGCGCGCGCTCAATGCTCCCTAGCAGACGAGCGGCTACTCCATCGCCGGGGGAATCGGGCACCTCTCACCAAAGGTGCCTCCTTCGGTTCTGGCCAGGCCGAGCCTGGTGAGCTCCTCAACGGAGTGATCAACACCGCCGTCCTCTGCTGTCTAGTCAGCAACCTGGCATTCATCAGGTTTGCTGGCTTTGCCACAGGTGCGTTCTCCCTCTTCTTCTGTCCCTTATCGGCCCAGCTGAATCCTTGCAGGTGTGTTTGCTGCATGGGCCCCCGACCTCTTCGACTTCTATGTAGACTATATGAGACTCTTCTACTTGCACTACCCCCGACTTCGTTGCCCCTTCCTCAACGGCATCTGGTCGGCCGTGACTTTCAATTTAGGGCCCCGAACGTGTGCCCGAGGCCACCGCGACTTCGCCAACTTGGCCTATGGATGGTGTGCTATCACCGCCCTTGGCAACTTCGACTACACGAAGGCTGGCCACCTCATTCTCTGGGATTGCAAGCTCATCATTGAGTTCCCACCGGGCACCACCATCCTGATCCCCAACGCCGCCATCTTCCACTCCAACATCCCCGTCGCCGAGGGCGAGCACCGCTATTCGTTCACCCAGTACACCACTGGCGGGCTCTTTCGATGGGTGGAGCATGGGTTCAAGACCGAGGAGCAGTACCTGGAGGGCCTGAGCAAACGGGAGCGGCGGGAGGAGCAGGAGCTGGGCAAGGAGCGGGTGTCTGAAGGCGTCGGGTTGTTCTCTACCATCGCTGAGCTCAAGGCGATGGCTTAATGCAGTGTTCTTGTAGTAATCAGGCTTAATGTAGTGTTCTTGTAATAATTTCCACCAATACCACGAGTAATTGCACCCAAATATATTAGAATTCCACCGGTTCCACTGAAAATTGAGCCAATACCACGGTTTCCATGGGTTGACTTGGTGAAAAACTGGTGAGTTGGATGTGATTGTGAACTCGCTTCAAGGTGATCGCGAACTCGCCTCATTGATCTTACCCTTAGACCCCATGGCAGCTGGCTCCATCATCCTTTTGAAAAATTCTGAGGAGGCAGATCTTGTATTTGGACCTCATAGCATCCCCAGAATAAATCCTAAATTTATCGCGATTTTGTAGAGTCCATTTCATGTCATGACACCAAATGACCTCGATTGTTACTTGTTTGCCCATACACATCTTTCGTCTCGACCACTACCACGACACAGTTTTAGCTTTTGGACCAAACTATGAAAGAATCCAATAGGTAATGAGCTCTGCTAAGATCTCAGCA